ACTGTATTGAATAATAAAAATTCAGAATTTTTAGTGTTTGCTTCGTTCTGATCTTTTAAGATCTTAATCTCGTAACATTAAAATGATTAGAATGTTGTCGAAATCTCCATATTGGACAGGCACTAACAGCATGTGACTACAATTGACGCTGATTGCAAAAATAATTGCGTTCCCGTCCAATCGAGGAGTTGTGACGTACGTCTGCAAATTTGTATGTCCGTTCTCTATTGATATCGTGGACGATTTGTCGGGCTACGTGAGGCTTGGAGTGTATTTAGTAGCAGATTATATAATAATAAATAAAGGTATTGTATTACAAGTAACTACGCTGAATATGTTATACCTACTAACTGCTTTTAATGCATTTTTTCGAATTATATTGTACACATATTGTACCTTTACTTTTTATTTATTTTTATTTATTGTATTGTACCTTAAATTACAACAGGCATTTTATTATTTCATTTTGTTGTTCAATTTATTTACACCAATAACATAAAGAGGTAAAGTTTGTAAGTTGGGATGTAGGGGGTAGGTATTCTCTGGAAATACTGATCTGATTCTGATTTTTTTTTCATTAATAGGAAGGTACATTACCGACGAGACCTATACACACATTTCAAAAAAAATCACAAATGAAAAAAAATACATTTGTAAATGTATGTAGTAGGTAATAGTGTTGCTTAATAATTTGTTTTTGTTTTTTAAATAATAGCAAACTAAATTAAAATTATTATTCTTCATTAAGTTTAACTTTCTTTTAAATTACACATAGAACAATTATATGGCTTAAATAATGAATATTTTATTTCTTTATGGTTATAAATATAATAATGGCAACGCTAAATATAAATTACTAATTGATATTATTTTTTCTATAAAAAATTGTAATAATTATAATAATAACAGCTAAAATTAAATAAATAATATTTCAAATTCTATTATAAAACTAATTAAAATTATAAAAATGTTTAAAATTAAAAATATTGTAAAGTACTTTGGTGCCATTTTTCCATTTTCATTTTGTTATTTGTGGGTAGGCTGTCTGTAACAACTTTATAATTTTTGAGACATCTAACATCTTGGTCTCTCCCGTAACCATGATTGCTGTAAAGCATTCGAAACGTCGGGAACCAAAAATCTAAATAAATCCGCGAATTAATCCAAAAATAGTTTTATTTAAAATATATAACTTTAAATATATACATATATTGTAAATATAAACACCCATGACTGGAGTACAAACATTCGTGCTCATCACACAATTCCAGCGGGACATGAAACCACGACCGCTGGCACAGCAAGGAGGGTCATTACAAACTGAGCCAAACGTGTCGTTGTATAAAATGTATGGCAAAAAGTCAAAGAAACGACGGTAACTCTCTAGAAATTGATAAAGTTTAGATAAATAGCTTAGTAGCTTATTTTTATTGTTTATTTATGTATTAAAGTCCAATATGTTGTCGCTTTATCTAATATGTTGAAATTTTGTTAGCCTATTCCTATTGTGACTTGATATCAAATGAAAAGTATTGAATGAGTACACAGCTTCATAATGTTGTTTTACATACAACAACAAGATCTAACTATCTATTAACTTATAAATCATAGGTAATTAATTTGATATCATAGAAACATAAAAATTCTTAGAATTTGTCAAGGAAATGAACAATATAAACCTCTACAAATATTACAGTTTTATAGACTCTACCTAATTCTGTACCTACAATTACTCTGGTGGTCGCATGTTCGATTCTCTTCTTATGGACGATATGACAAAATAGATCATAATGTACCTGTATGTAAATGTATATTTGTTCTGCTGTGCAAAAGGTAAAATGTAGCTGAGGAATGCCACCAAAACCACGATTTGGGCAGGTATCGAAAAAAGAACTGCCTTTACCGTAGTGTACCTACATTCTCTTCGTTTGCTCGGCAATGGAAGTGCATAAAGCCATAGATCTATATTTATACTTAAGCTATTTGCTTCTAGAAGCTTTATGACATAAAACTATAAATTAACACAAAATAAATACCGGTCGTATGTTTTCCTTAATCATTAACTTCTGTCTAAACCCTGTCATAATGTCATTAAAAGGTAATTAATCCAAATGATGTCTGGCATAATTACCGTGAGTTGTGCCTAGCGTTATTTTATTGCGTGTTGAGATATATTATATTAAGCCAACACGTTCTTTACATGCAGCAAATTCAACTCTTAAATATTCTTTGCACGCCTGTTCAATCCTTAGATACTCACTAATGTATGACCAATGGACTACAAAAAAATCATCGTAAGCTCCATTGTCTGCAAATAAACTTAGTTAATAAAAATTGATTTATGTTATACTATACCGTTTGTTTCCAAATATTAAAATTAAAACAAAAAATATTTTTAATGGCAATAATAAGGCAGAAGTTATTAAATGGATTTTTTCACTTAGGTACCACAGATCTCTTAATCTAAAACTCGGTGCCAGTCTATGCAGTGGAAAGCAAACCTATCTGAATGATTGTAGGGACAAACGAGTACATCACAAAGTGATGTATAATTTTATCCTATAGATAAAGTAAATACCTTTAGTCTATATTTAAATGGGTTTTCTTTTTTTAATTTGATTATTGATTTTATATCAGTGAAAAATATTATGAATGGATTATAAATGGATTATTATTCGTTTTATTTCAGGTTCAAGTAAACATGACAAATAGAGAGAAATGGGCAAGTAGGTTAAAATTGACGAAATATCCTCATGTACTTATCGTAATATTGTTTTTCTGATATTCTATGAACATTGAACACTATTCTCTGGTAACAGCATTAATTAAAGAACTTTATATATAATAGGTATGCAACTATGTGGCGAAACACTAAAAGAGTTGTTAAATACATATGTTGTTTTGTTTCGCTCGTTTGAAAGAAGATATATACAATTTAAACAAGCGTCTCCTTTTTGAATTCGGACAATAATGACATAAATTTGAAAAATAATAATATGTATTTACAATTATTACTATAACTGCTTATAAAAAAAATTATTTCCTAAATTTGTAGTACATCAACATACATATATACACCATATATACATATTATTAAAAAAATATGTTTCGGTTTAATAATTTAAAAAAATATTTTTTTTTAAATTATCAATGTAACTTCCGATTACTTTATTAATTGGTATCATATTTACCACTTTTGGGCCCGATAGACAAACGAAGTCGCAGGTTAACCATAGTTAAGACCTAAATATTAATAATATGTTAACTTTCATAATATGGAAGTTAAGAGTTTATTGTAGATAAGCCAATAGCCTGACCGGATCTGTTATCATCGCGTTACGTACCTCATGTTGGTTAAGGAGTGAGGTTATCGGTTGCACTGTGCCTATGTTGTTTCCACTGGCTTTATACATACACTCTTCAAATTAGATTAAACTAAACTGTTAAAGTTAATGTTTAATGCTAATCGAATAAGTTTTCCTCAATAAAGCTGTTCATGTCTTAACATATCCGGAGCTATTTGTATACTTTGACGGGCCGCGAATATTATGTGGATTTCTGTCTGTAGTAAAAATTACAAGAGTCTAGATTCAGAATTCTCACGTGGTTTTAATCAGCTGATAAACGTTAGGCATCTGGCGATCTTCCAGTCGTTATTAGTAATACCTATGATAAATATTCTTAACCATTTCGCTCCGAATATTCACACCCTCGCAACTTTAGTCGCCGTATTTTTATACAGAATAACCAATCCATACTAATATCATAAATGTGAAAGTGTGTTTGTTTGTTTGTCTGTCCTTCTTTCAGGTCACAACAGAGTGAAGGATTGGCGTTTTTGTGTGAGGAGATAGTTTGGTGTTGAGCTTACTAGTGCCAGCAATACATCTGGTCGCAAAGCTAAGAAACCTTCTGCTTCAGCAGACCTGCCGTCGCGTCGGGGCGTCTTAGTTGAGTACGTAAGCGATCCTGCGAACCGAGGTTGGTCGCTAGTAACTAATAAATATTAAAATAAGTAGGTGGTACATTCTATTTATAATGATGTTCATATTATAATATATTTATTTATAAGAGAAAAGAAATATCTAAAACTTTTACATAACTAAAACACAATTTATATGTACGCGTGATAAGCTGGGTATTGAGTTTTCAATATAATTTGCCCTCTAACTGGGCAACTTGACGTGATAAGATAAAGTTGATTTTTTGATCTATAATTACATTGCATTACTATTGTTCTTTATCAAAAATCATTTTATCCATTACTTAATGCGGAAGAAGTGGCTTATTTTTAGATGTACTTAGTAAAATTTTAAAATCAAATATTTTCACTACCACTGTTGGGTACTAGAACTTGTAAGTACAGTAAAGAGTAACATCGCAATACCTTTTTTTTAACGTTGGGAGATGCATTTACGCATAACCACCTGTATGTATGCAGGTATGCATACAGGTGGTTATCTAGGACTCATCGGCAAAGCCACTAAAACCCAAGAGAACCTTCCCCGTCTTAATGGGGCTTCGCAGGATCGCTTACGCAGTCTATCACACAACCCATGGGGTTGCTCCAACGGTCCAATCTGTTGTCAGAGAAGTACCATGAGCAACTTGCACGGTTGGACGTGTTTAAATTTAATTTAGTACAATGATAGGATAGCTAGGGTCGCATCCGTGAAAAGGCAAAAGGATTGTATTACCTTACACCTACCACTTTTGACATAATTTTTGGCGGTGCGGTAAGATAAGCACAACGTGTTTTGATTTTTCGCGTTTGCCAGATTTGAACCTGTTAAGACTTTCTATATTAAAAAGTATTTTAGAAACCATCGTAATAATATTAACACTACGAGTACCTATATTTCCGATAAATGAGACGCAGTAATGTATTACTTTTATGTCTATGAAAAAAAAAACAATACCCCAAATTATATCATGTATTATTTCATGACAATTGCTAAATGTTTCAATCATAAGCATGACCAGAATTATAACTAGACTCACATAAAGTCTTCTAAATCGACTACATTCGTGTATTGGCACGCCTGTCCATCCACGTTGTAGCACATGCTGTTGTAATCCCATTCTGGTCTTTGGTAGCAGGGTAAGTTTGTTTGAGTCACTATTGGTGCATTATAAGTAATGGGCGAACAGTACAGTTGCACATTATCCTGCACATAATAATCCCTGTTGTAACACTGCACTGGTATATCACTATAGCCGTTGTACTGATTATAATTGCACAAATTGTTCACTATAGGCTGCCTGGACCATTGGTTTGACATAGGACACTGCATGTTCCATCCTGTCTCCTCAAAGTTACCTACAACTGGGCATCGTTGTATTAGAGGCTCTCCGTTGACCAACATAATTCACACTTTATTATTAACATTACACAAATATTAAAACAGTCCATCGGGCTACATAATCAACGAACGACTGATAGCAGAAAGATGTGCTTATCTTGCCCGCTATTACTCGCATGGTAGCAAAAATTGATACCTACTCAACAAGATAGCAAAACGTTAGATTAATTTTGATCCATTTAATATTTAAAACTCCTCCGAAACGGCTTGACCGATTCTTATGAAATTTTGTGTGTTTATTCAAGTAGGTCTGAGAATAGGACGTACATTTTCATACCCCTAAGTGTTATGGTTGGACCACCTCAATTTTTTTTGGACAATAAAAATATTTTTTTTTTTTATGATTCGGTATTAAATGAGTGGCTAGTTTGATATAACATTATAAATGAAATGAAAAGTTATTTTTTCATTGAAACGTTATTTTCATTTTAGGAAAGGTTAAAGTTTTAGGAAAAAAATCTTAAAGTGTAATATTGATTGTTTAAAATCCAGCAAAATATATGTGATTTACAAATTGTTATCAGTACCTAGTTGTCATACATATAATCGATAACAGCATAAAAGCGATGATATGATATTTGGTAGTTAAGACTAAATCACAATGAATGTATGTATGTATTACATTTTCAACAATCAACAGTCAAATTATACTTAACTTTTCTTGCTAATGTTTCAGTTTGGGTATCACTAATAAAAAGATTACTCTAACTACGTATATAAATTCGATTAATCTTACAATTCATTATAATATACATGTATAACTAGAGCACAGTTTTTATTTAAAAAGTTGGACTACCCATATCTATATATCTAATATATCATTAATATTGGCCTTCTTTTTATAGTATTAATAATTAATATTAATAAGGCAATTTTTTCTATGAGTTTGTGTAAGAGTGTTAGTTTTTTTTCTCTAACAGATCAATAGATTTTAATAATATTTTACATCTTGGAATTTGGATTCATACAAGTTACCTTTTTTTAATGTACCTACCACGAAACGTAGGTAAAGGTAAGGTATATGAAGATGACATAACTAAGGAATATCATTACTATGTCCTTAGTTAACTGTTAAAGATAAATAAACGGTAACAGGATGACTAAATGTCACTCATCAGTTACAAGCCCGTAATTAGGTGGCAAGTTACTAAAGATGGTGTTTAACGTACGCAATGCCGTCTGCACGGGCTCATAAAAATACGTCAGAATACTTATGTTCATTTAATTACATGGGATAATGAACTTTAGGTTAGAATCTATTTTATAATTAATTACTAGGCATTTTCTTTGTTGCAAATTGTATCTGATTATTTTAAGTCCGTAAGAAAGTATTTAAGTTTATTCATGATATGTTTTTTTATATTTTTCAAAGATTCGTGTCAAATATATGTTAATCAAAGACACACATAATATACCGTCAGTGTGTCATACTGTTTAAAGGAACATCACTCTGACTTCTTTCCGACCGGATTCCTTCTACCTTATCTATACATATGTATAATAAAATTGTAACTAAGCCGAATCTGTACATTAAACATTTTTTGGAAAATCTTATTGAAATAGACATTATTATCGATGCAGAGGCCGAATCTATAGTTTTTAGAATTTTTGTCTGTCTGTCTGTTACCGCATCACAGAAAAACCACTGGAGGGATTTTGATAAAATTTGGTATGGTGATAGATGGTTATCCGGGTCAACATCCGGGTATACACATTTTACCGCGGTAAAATATCTCATTCCTGAGAAAAAATACAAAAACTGCAATGTAAGAGAGTAAGTACTTATACTAAATGTAAATCCTAAGAATTTGTTTTTTTGTAATCTGAACGCGGGCGGAGCCGCGGGCAATGCTAGTATATATATATATATATATATATATATATATAAATATAAATGACTTTTTTTAAACTATGTTACCAATATTTATAACTATATTAAATTATTTTATAGCCCCTGGTCAAGTCAATATAAATATACAGGTGGAGGGCCTTACCGTTATATGCTACAAGCTAATAACTACCATTAAACATGATGTTCATTCAGCTTAGCCATGCAAGACAACAATATTTTTTAATATAGAATTAATTAAATTACATACTTGTGTCAAGTTGATATCCAGTCATAGGTAGGTAATAAAGCAAAATTGAAAACAACTTGTAGACAAACCACACATGGTCTAAATTAACATCATCTATGAAAAGGCAAGAACTTGTTCATCATCTATATAGCATTGAAATGATGAACAACATATAAATGTAAATATACAATAACGCTCTGCGGCACGTCGCGTCGTTATCTCCATTTAGTACTTAGTTAACCTAATTTTATTCTTGCCAACGCGACGTCAACTTTAAAGCGACTCGAGCCATGTGGACAATAGAAATGTCAATGGTAGAATTCATTTTGTTTTAATACTCATTCTCACCTTCATTAGCAGCTGGTTTGGTGAGTTTTCTTCTTAATAAATCTGAATACGTCCGTTTACTAAATGATAATACATAATATATATGTATACATTTATTTCGTGTATCTCGGAAACAACTTTAACGATTTGGGCTAAATTTTGTACAATCTATACAGATAAATAAAATTGAAGTGTTTCTAATGTCAAAATAACAGCGTTTTACTAAATGCATATGACATTTATATATATGGTACCTATAAGAAAATCACAATTTTTAAATTTATTGTCTGTCTGTTTGTTCCGAATAATCTCTGAAACGACTGGACTGATTTTGACGGGACTTTCACTGGAAGGTAGCTGATATTATAGGCATTAACATAGGCTACTTTTATTTTAGAAAAAGAATTACGGTACGAATCAAAAAATTTAAAAACGTACCTAGCTAGTATTTAAATAAGGTTTTGCTTTATAAGTTTAACTATAGGTATTGGTGCCTTTCTGAAAAAAATGTTATGCAATGTTTATATATTTTCCGAAAAAAACGCCCAGGTAGGTACTTGATTTAATAATACGTAAACATTATAAAATATATCCTACTAAAATTACAAATCCGAAAGTATGTGGAGATGTATGAACGTATTAATCTTTCGTGCAAAAATTACAGGACGGATTTTTATGAAACTTTAGAATAATACAACTTATAAGCAAGAGTAACATGTCAGAATAACACATAAGGCTATATGTATTTTTAAAGATATAATAATAAATAATTGAACTACTCGGGCGGAACATAGAAAACGCTAGCACTCTATAATAATTATTAGGAGACCAATAAAAATATTGTCACGTTAGGTACAAGGTGACTTAAAACGATTAATGTGTTTAGATTTGCTTCTTACAATTTGTTCATTGCGCAGTTGTTACAGGTACAGCAACAATAACTTGATACGATATGTTCTTACTATATATACCTATTACTTCTGTAAAAAACTTTTTTTTCTTAATTAACATTTATTAAGTCAAACTTAAAGAAAATCCTACTATGTAAACTAACAAAAAAAAATTACATTATCTTTACATATTCTCACATTTAAAATGTTGAAAACTTGTGAGTTTACTTCTTAACAACTTTTAACTGTAATCTGTAAGTATATCATTTGACCCCTTGTGTCTCCCAATGTAGAAAATATTAGCGTTTAAAAAAAAAATGTTTTTGACCGGGACCTGTCCAAGTGACAAGAATCACAAATAACTAATAAGAAAATCCTTAATGCTAACTATGAAACGCTAATATGTAAAAGAAAAATATTAGTATTAAAATTAAAATTAACTAGGTTTATTGATGTATACATATATTAAAATTTACGAATTAATGTTTCGTAAATGTAATGTCTTATATCAAATATTCGTTTAGATGACGAAATAATGAATAAACAAACGATTAGAATTTTAAATAGAAAAATTGAAATTAGCATAAAGTACCTATGTATATAACTTATAGTAACCCATTTACAATGTACGCACAAATTAATTGCGTATTTTATTATAGTTTGTAAACAAACAAAATCACTTGTCTTTTTAAAATAATACTGGATTTTTTAGTTAGAAATCCTCCCGAGCGCGCATTTTCAGGATAAGAATGTTTATAATTAATTTGATTTTGATTGAAGCGGGTTCAAATCTTGGGTCTCGCACCTCTGATATTTTCATGTGCAAATCATTTTCCAACATGATTACCACTTGCCTTAAGGTGAAGGAAAACATCGTGAGGAAACCCGCATGTCTGAGAGAACCTAGCAAGTTTTCGAAAGACATTTGCAAGTCCTCCAACCCGCGCACTTGGCCAGCGTGATGGACTATGGCCTGATCCCCCTCGCATTGAAGGGAGGTCCGTGGTCCGGGCCCAGCAGTGGGACGTTAAAAAGGGGCTAAATACGAGCGCCACCTATTCCACAAAAAAATTTGGCTTTCTTTTGGCACTAGAAGAATATATGTAAATTCTGAGAACAAGTAATTAAATATGCATATTTTACGACACTTTCTTATCGAATTTAAGATTCAAATTAGGTTGTTATTCACAGATTCGCTTTAAAGCTGATAAAAGTTATTTTATAAAATTATATCTTATGAATGAATATAGATATCACAGTAGCTTTAAGTACTTAATACTTAAAAAAAAAATGTTTTTTTTATTTTAATTTTATAAGCTTTATATAATATTGTAACTTAATAATTTGACGAGATTAAGTGTATTTGAAACCCACATCACGGCAGATATGATGTTCTCCCGACCGATTCCGGCCACGGCGCCCAATCTCATTGAGACTAGCCAACTGCGCAGGAGATATTATAGTGCACAAGTGTACGCGCAGACACAACGTGCACTCTCTATTCCTGTCACTCTCATACTCCGGTGGGACGACTGCTCGACACGACCAGTGAGAGTTAAGGCGCAGGACCGACGGCTTTACGTGCTCTCCGAGGCACGGGGGTGAAACACCGCCAACTTCCCAACTCCGGGCTGTTACTGAGGCTTACTATACAGAAAGACTCAATAACTAAACTTGGCCCGACCCGGGACTCGAACGAAAAACGAAAAAGACAAAAACATAAGGTTTCAGTAATCCTAATCAATTACATTTTCGATATTATCATATTATCTTTAAATTTTAAGGACATGTTGTGAAACTATCTTTTCATTTCGGTATAACGAACTTTATATATACCTGAACGGCAATATGAATAATATTATGTATAGAAAGGAAGAGCTATAACGATAAATTTTTAGAAAGACTCCAGGTAGGTACCTACTGAATAGCTAAAAAAAAAGAAAAAAAACATAACCTTTAAAGCTCCCCAGTCCCAAAACGAAATAAACCTGTCAATCTACCTCTTTGGAGTATAAAAGTACCCATAAAGCATTAAGAATGAACATACATTAGTAGATTCAAAACCCGTTGCCGTTGAGTTACCGTTATTTGCTTGACGCGTATGAGCAATGTTGGAAGTATGGAAATTTTGGCTTTGACCAAATATATTTTACTAACCGTACAACCCGTGTACAAATAAAATAAAATTTCTAATTAAAACATTCAATCTACTAAGGGCAATTCCAAAGACAACTTACAATTATTCCATTACTGGACTTTAGATAGTGAGAGATAAGATTTATCTAAAACGTCAATGAATGGCAAAGGGCATATCAAACTATAATGCCAATGATATGATAAAAAAGGAAAGTATGCAAGCGCTTCACTTTTCGTCATATAAATCATACGCGACATTCGATATATAACATCAAATGATTAAAATTACTTTATCTAATATTTTAGTGAAATATAACTGTTACTAGCAGTGATTATTTATCACCTAACTGTTCTGTACAATATGATAGTTTTATCTATAGGTAGTAGGTACATATAATAAAACTGTAGAGGTCGAATGTCTGTACATAGAAAAAAAATGCTATAAACAGAGTCAGGGGGATGTAAGAACAGAAATAGAACAAAATCCAGTTTTTTTTCAAATTTTTTGTCTCTATGTTTGTTTGTACGGGCTAATCTCCGAAACTGTTGGACCAATTTAAATAAAATTTTGCATTGTAGTTCCTTATATCCCCGGTCAATATTTTAGATACGTTTTATCTCGGAAAATTAAAGAGTTCCCGTGGGATAGTTAAAAAACTATAGTAACTTATACAGCTTAGTATACAAAAACTTCTGTTTGAATTTTAATGAAACTTTACAATAATATAGCTCATACATCAGAATAACAAATAGGCTATATTTATCCCGGAAAAATGTACGGTTCCCGCTGGATAGATTTGTTTTTCTTTGGTCTAGAGGCGACCCCGAGCGAAGCGAGGATGTGCCGCTAGTAAATAAAGTGGTAAAAGGCGAGTTGAACTCGCGAAATACAGCGTTTCTTATGATTAAAAAATATATATTTTTCTGTCCTCGACCTGACATACCAGAACAAGGACAACAGTAACTCTGCAGTTTCCTTGTGAACACACAAATGATCAACTATACTAAGTCAGTATGTCAGTAATTACAAATGTGGCTTTTTGTATACACACATTCAATAAAATCAACACGTCCTATTTTCAGACAGAGAAACAGGCATATATTATAAAGCAGCTATAATGTAGGTACTCTATATTAAATTTTACCTTCATCAATAAACAGGCTATAAAAAATAGGGTCTCTCAATCAGCGCATTGAAACATACACTCTTGATTTATAATTAATTATATGTAGATATAATTAGTATATATTAATCGTTAATGATATACACATACACACTATAAACATATACCTACAGTAGAACAAGCAGACCAACAATTTGAATTTAATTAAACTTCAAAGTCCGATCAGTGTATTTGATAACAACAAATTAGACTATTTAGTGTTTATAGGAAACAAAAAATATTGACATATAATATACAAAAGAACACATAAAAGACAAATATATCATTTTCGTATTAACGACGTTGTTCTTGATTACAAACAGCATAAAACAAAAACTCTAAGCGCGTGTGTCCGTCCGCCTTAGTATCCGTAAGTATGCCACGGATTTTAATGTGGTTCATTAATATCATTTACAATCCAAAGTCCATCCTCTATGCGTTAGAAAGATTCTTTCGTTTAAGCTTATATATAATGCTCAGTGACAACGAACTCACAGAAAATACTAAGTGAAGGGTACTTTCATGTCACCTAGCAAGTTTTTTAAGACGTGATTTCCGTCAATTCGTACTTGGACTGGGGACCATTATCCGACAGGGGGGTAAGGGCATTAAGTACCCAGCAGTCGGACAAACTTACAATCAACTTCGAATAGAATCCCAATAAACTCCTACATTATATGTATATTATATTATAGTCTTTTTATTATGACTAGCGCCTTACCCCGATTTGTTCAGATACGTTCATCGGTACCTAACGGTAGCCTTTGTACTTTTCATCAAAATCCGTCCATTCGTTTCAGCGTTAAGGAGTAACATAGATACTTACACATACATATACGTACACTTCGATCAAAACAATACTGATGATCGAAGCATATACACTATACAGTACATACAAACTTCCGCAATTATAACAGTAGCCCGATATAAAAGATGTAAAGTTTTTTTTGTATGTTCTATAATACTGTTTGTTTCCCTAAAATAACTAAAAATAAAATAACTAATAATTTTATTGTGTAAATTGTTAAAGGATTTAAATGAAATTAGACCTTTTATTCTAATTATAAGTTGCCGTGAGATAATATCTATACTTTAAAGTACAAATTAAATATAATTTTCAACCTTTGAAAGAACAGGTGCAACATCTATTCTAAAATGAAAGTAATGGCTAATAGTAAAATTAATCATTATTCTTAATGCCACATGTGTGGTAATAGCAGTGAATATCAAACGTGTGATCGTAGCAGTGGATGCAAAACAATATGCTTATACTAGCGGCTTACCCTCGCTTTGCTCGGGTTCGCCTCTAGGAAAACAAAAACAATCCTATCCCACGGGAACCGTACATTTTTCTGGGATAAAAGTGGCCTATGTAACCTATGTGTTCTTTCAGACTATAATCTATCTCAGTACCAAATTTCATCCAGATCCGTTCAGCCGTTTTGGCGTGAAAGAGTTACAAACATCCATACTCACAAACTTTCACATTTATAATATTTATAAACATTATTATATAATTTACATTATTTAATATAAGGAAAATTCCAGTGCATGATTATCGCGAGTTATTAGTGAGCTTTAGAGTTATTTCCATTGACCTGATTTAACATTGGCTAGAAAACAAGAAATTATGTAACAAAGGATTGTAAAAAAATGCAGTTTACATTTCCGTGATCTATTTGTAAAACAATAACGATTTTTTTACTAATGTTTTAATTTTTTTCGGATTTTATTCGGGGATTTAGATATTTTTATTTTAAAATATCAAATATTCGCGTAAATCTAAAAAAAGATAAAATATGTCCTACAGTTATTGTTATGAGAAATACACCCTGAACACCCACCGTAAACCGCAACAATTCATACACAAGTAAGTACTTCAATTTTTTAGAATTTTATTATCTTTAGAAAATCTTTTTAATGTAATTAATTTTATTTTTAAATTAGATTTACGCGAACATTTAATATTTTAAATAAAACTATCTTTTCGGATTATTTCGAGGATTTATTTTTCGTTTCAAATGTTTTCGAATTTAATTATGTTTAATGCATTTATGCCCCTTTCCATATATAAGATATTTCAAGTACAGATGTGAAATTTTACATAATAATCACTTTAGAACACTTATTGTTAAAAAGCGAATGTATATAAAATATAAACACCAGCGTCTCACTCTCCCTTCGCTGGGGTTCGCCTCTAGAAAAAAAAAACAAATCTATCCCACGGTAACCGTACATTGTTCCTTGATAAAAAGTAGCCTATATATTATTCTAATGTATGAGCTATATTATTGTAAAGTTTTATTAAAATCCATTCAGTAGTTTTTGCGGGAAATAGTAACAAACACTCATACACCTCTACATACAGACATCCATACATCCTCACAAACTTTCGCATTTATTGTATTATATTGCAGATTTTTTTTAAATGGATCACAACTTAATTTACTAACAACATTGAAAAATACTACCTCGGGAATTACCTTAAGATTCTACAACAATGAATACATTCTAAATTCTTTATTAGAATGTGAATGTAAACAAAAAAAAGCAAGCATTATCTAAAGAACATTAGAATCTCCTTGTTTCAATTCGGCTAAAAATCATAGAGTATTATATTATTTACTGCATTTAAGAAGTAATTAAAAAAATACACAGAAAATGACGTGGACAATGGTGGACTTATCTCTATAAGAGATCTCTTCCAGTCAACCCGTGTACATATGTGGGAAATAGTGTAAGTGTGGGTATTGGAAGAAGTTGAGGATTTTATGGTTTCTTCATGATATTACCATGGTTACTATGAGATAACAAACGACGAAATTAGACGGATTATAGGACATCAACCTTTTGACCCATTTTATAAATAAAATTGTACCTACTAGCCAAAACATAAAATAAACGAGAGTATACGATTAAATTCGTAGGATTTTATAAAACTCTAAAGTATTATTTAAATAAAATCATATAAGCAACCATAAGATAAGATTTTTATCAAAACTCTTTGTGATATTTGTGAAAAAAATGTTACTTTTATGACACTATAAATATAAGTTGTACTCTATTTTTTACGTTTGTCATTTTACATTATCTAACAATAAGCTAATTGATTTTGCCAAAAATACTTATTATATTACTATTACACGATAAGCTATCATGTATGATGAAATATTTATGTTAGCAAAACGTACTTACATTATTTCATAAGAGGGAAGCCACGGGCATTAACACGTACCTCAACTTAAAATCAAAATTGAATTCTTGCTGAAATGACCATTATCTAATGATCTTTTTTATTATTAA